TATAGTGGCAAACTAGGGGATGAATCCAGGTTTGCGCACTTTCCGGTAACCGATTTCAAAAAAACTTAGCAAATAGATGTAATTTCACGTACTTTTGAGGTCGGTTTTTTTAGTTCTCTGTATTGAGATTATTACTTTATTGATTATACCAAAATCGAATGGGTAACTGACTTTTTTTATTGCTAGTTGTTGCAAGCAGTAAAAAACATTTTAAACTAAGTAATGGATTATAGGTATACTTACGTAGCTTACATACGTAAGCTGTATATAGTATGTATAGTATATACATACTATTTTATTTTACTTATGTATATATACTATATTACGTATATACGTCACTTTTGTTAACAAATAGTTGCCGGACAGAAAGACCACCGCACTCGTTTAGAAGTTTGTGGGTTGGATACATGTATATTATATACTCCTTCTTCTGTTTAACGATCGTTAGCAAAAGGAATGTTTTCGCTCCTGGACGATTTTCGGTTTCCTGATTTCAATTTAGGCGCTCGTTCGCGCGTTTGGATTTTGACGACGGAGTCTTCAACAAGTTTCTGACAGCGAAAGTTCAATAATAGTAGAGACCGAGTCGCGGGGCGCTGTTGCCTCAGCCTCTTTCTCCGTATGGCCGCAGAGCCACTTGCCTGTATTTGTACAGTCTAGAGCACATCAAGCTTGACACTTTGTACTTTGGACCCTTGTTATCGTAAGCGGCAAGAGTCGGATTTAAGTCTTCGGTGTAAAGCTTGACATGCTCTTGACCTTGTACATGCGCACAAATTGAAATAGTCTTGAAATTTTCAAGAAGGCCTGTATCAGTCGCCGTTACAGTACTACTTTGAGCGGACTACGAGTAGTACCAGATCTGATATATGATAGTAGTGTTGAGCCCCGGTCGATTTTCATCAGTATCTCCCCATCGCCGTCACCGGAGCCATCTGATGGAAAGAAGAAAGAAGGAAACAAATAATGTTTAATTTTAACATCGTTTCTCGACATCTTTCAAGAACGTTCCAACACTCGACGAAAAAAATGCTGGTAATTCTATCAACTTTTTCTACTACTTCTAGAACTCTACTCAATGCCCAAGTACTTACCGTACTGAACGTATCAACTTGAGTATGATTTAAAGCACTAGAAATCGTACTCAAGTCCTTGCCATTAGGGTCGTATTTCCAGTGCTTGAAATAATAGTCAAGTCCTGACTTGAGCATGGAGTAGAGTTCTGGAACACGATCCTAAGTAACCGTGAAAATCTGTTTTGCTTGTGAGCCATTCGCAATGAAATGTCCTCTTAAGTGTCGGCCCACCACGCTCGGTGGCACTGGACGTGGATCGGCGTATTAGCATTTTATAACCGTCGTGCTGCACCTAGTAGGTACTCGCTTTTTAATTACAATTTCGTTCATTAAAGACAAGGGTTTATTAATGCAAGGAGTAAATTATCAGCTGAGCTTAAGGAGTCCGTCTATCGCCTGATTCACCATTGATTCCACTTTTAAGTATACTTATCATGTTATACTTACGTGTAATAAAAGAATGCTGTGTTACCTTCATTTATTATTTTTTCTTTTTTTAAGCCCCGCACTAGGGAAACTCTGTATCGCGAGTGCCATGAACACACACGTAGAAAACCACGAATTACACCCAACTTACGAGAGAAATAAATGTAGGTAGGGCATAAAAATATTTCTCTCGGCCTCCCGGGCCGAACCTGGGACCTCTACGTGGCAGTCTGGCATGGTAACCATTCGGCCACGGAAGCAGTTAGGTTTTAACAAGTTATAAAATATATTTGATTCTGTTGATATCAACTATACGATGCATATGACTCCCAAGGATGCGTACACAAAGTGTACATATTTTTAGTTCGTTCTTTCGGTTTGTATACAAGCCGATAATTTTCATCTGGTTATTTCTGAGTTTCAATACACAAAAATCTAAATTTTAAACTAGTTTTATAGCTGTATACTGCCGTTTACATTTCCGGCTGCTATCATAAAAGGATAATAATTATGACACAGTCTAAATACACTGTGATTGTGATATAATATCTTCATATAAATTAGGGTACAGGTAAATTGAAACTGAAAAGGCTTCAACTTTGCTAGTAGTATATTGGTTCAGATTTATTACATTTAAAATTTAAAACATTACAAATTACACATTGGACTTGTCAACAGTTTTATTTAAGTCCGCGTCGAAAATTAATTCGAATATGTTATTCGACCTGAGGTGAAGTTGTAATTCACCCGAAACTTCTGAGCACATCATCCACTACATTCAGACAAACAACTTACGTTGTGCACGGCTCGTGGAAAATCCAACTAAGTATTTATACTTCCAATGCAAATCAACAATTCAAGACAATTATTAAGTCGTACAACGTAAGTTAATAATTATTTTAATGACAGTTGGCCATGAAAGAGTTTTCGTGTAAATCAAACTAACCCATGTAAGTATAGAAGTAGATACACGGGTAAAACTATAGTTTGACTTTAATATCGAGAATACTTTGTACTACACCAGAGACGTTGCACGAGTTAATTAAATTGATTGGCGTAGAACTTCTTTTGAGTGTTTATGGTGAACTGCAGCCGCAGGCACGACAGCGGAGAGCGCAGGCACAGCACACGGCGCAGCGCGCACTGTCTAGGTAATAAGCGGTGCGGGCGCGCGGGCGGCTCACCGTCGACGGCCGCTCATTAACCCGCACAGCTAAATTATACACCGCTTTATCGCACTGCTAATCCCACGAATTGTATATACCCCCCCACACACGCGTGAACTAGCTCATAAGGCGCTTTTGAAACGAGTAAGGTTACGTGCCCAAACGTGAGCGCGGTATCGCGGTACGGCGCGGTACTTGCCCGCCGATTAAGGCTCGCTTGCAACAGGTTTAAGATTCTCTAAAAAATGCATGACTGAAGGTACGCTCTGCAATTAAGTTTTTCCTTCGTGCTCATTGAAGTACTTCAATATTTTTAGCCGGTGGAGGACCGATTTATCCGCGAAGGCATAAAAAAAAGGAATTACAGAGCATAATCCTTCAAATTTGAATGGTAACAACAATGAAGTTAGTGGTTCACTGTCTACGTAATATTATGTTAATAACAGAAAAAAATGCACAAAACTCAGTATGTAATCAAAGACAAGAACTAAAATTAATTAATAAATATTTCATAAGTGCATACAGCGATAGAAGAGACGGTTGCGCGACAATAAGTTTCGCGTGCTACTGCGCCTGTGCGCGCGCAGCTATTTTTCATTCGAGATAATCCAAGGTATTGTATCGCGAATTATCTAAAACTTCGTTGCATTGAATTGTCCATTACGAGTCTGTAGTATAATTCAACTGCTGAACCTGGCGATGAGCAGTACCGCGGTTAAAGGGGGCTAAAGGGGGATGCAAGTCCATTTCACAAATCGGTCTAGCAGTGCACACCTCATGCGATAAGATGAACAGGTTCCATCTATCTATTATAGATGTGATTACACATAAGCAAATGGTGCTCTTTCAATGGATGTGATCAAGTTGAACTTTCTCGTGTCTTGCTGACCCAGGCAGTTGCGCCTGCGCAGACCGACTCACAATTAGCGCCCAGATTATAGTCATTATGAAAGACGCAGGCGCGGCTCGGGTGCGGAGGGTAAATTGCCCGTACCGACATACTGCTTTATAAATATAATCGAACCTGCACAATATGCACCTTTGAAAAGTCACGACTTGCCACAATTTACACGATACAAACAATAATCTATAACAACCGTGCAGGTGAGCAAGTACATAACTATTCATTTTAAATAAAGTAATAAGACAGACATGTGTTACGAATCATGTATTTAGAATAAGCGGCGCAGTTATAACCAAAAAGGAGTAAAAGCCCTACGGGACCTGTCTGGTCCGCCAGGCGCCAGGCGCCAGGTCGGCCTTTCTGACAATACTAATTAAACGCCATTCCTATCGGCGGAAACATTTCCCACATGTCACACTGATTACCTATCTGCAACACCGCCGACGTTAGCAGTCACTTTGTGTGCCACATTCTCAAATCTAATGTCTAAAGCAGCCTTCACTGCGTTCAAACGTCTAGAACATGTGCGCTGTCACGTGCATTAAAAACAACAACACGCACATTTCCTAGAGAACTATGACGCCGCAAACAGGAATTGTATTAAGAATCAAAATTAATTATATCTTGTAAACATAAACCAGTGTCATACATGAGAAACGGGCGCATTAGTTGCTGTCGGCTTCGCCAACATAAAGAATTGAAAGTGGCCGAGATAAAGTCTCTGTTCACTTGGTCATTCCCTCAGTGCCCATTCGCGCTTTTCATCAGCTCATTGAACATGGAAAAATGTTAGTCAGTTGGCGTCGTAGCGGTCTACGCAATCAGCTCTTTATTATATAGATGCAGTACCAATTGATTTGTCACATGAGGACAGAGAGAAGCTCCCATTTCCACCAGTTGTTTAAGTACAGTATTACTGTTGCTATCATTCCAGATATTAGGTATCTTTAAAATAATGCACTGGCTCCCTGTTACTCGAGGATCGTAAATGCCGTTTCCATTGTTATTTTATTTAAAAAAGCGAAGATTAAAGGGAACATTATACGTTTAGAACTAGAAATATAGCAACATAGTGAATCGATTGCTAAACAAACAGGTGGTAAATGATTTACCTCCATTTGATTAAGGTGTATCAACTGATCATAAATGGCGTTGCACCGTCCGGTGATTGTTCAGGCTCTGAATAGATAGAGGCATAGAATAGAAGAGTAACTATTATAAAATTAAAAAATAAATTGACCTTTACGCATTAGGCATGTCATTAGGGGCTGTAATTCACATACGTTTATCCGTAAGTGGACAAATAACACAGATTAATGCTGTCCACTAAACACATACGAGAAACGTTTAATTTAACCCGGTACATAAACGGTTACGATTTTAGATGTGCCTTAGTATTTCTGGAGGCAGTGAACAATAGCCACAGTCCGTCATTGAGAGTCCAAGAAGTGTATTGCGTATTTTCAAAATTACCTACGGTGCGTATTTTTTTATCTACATTGTATATATTAAAAAGGAGTAGGGTCCGGAACAATTCAGTGGTAGATGTGCGCACACCAAAAACTAATAAAACAGAAAAATAGAAACTTGAAAATTTGAGGACATGTCACTTTTATTTAATGTAGGCGTAATAAGAAAGGATTTTCGAAACTCAACCCCTAAGAGGGTGAAAAGGGAAAAAAGTTTTTAAGACAAACCTTACAAACAAAATTATATGCATTTAAAAATTTTGCGTTGACGCAGTCACGGGCGACAAATGTATAGTAATTTAATATTTTAGCGTTAACGTGCCTTAGCGTTAAGTAAACCCTTGTTTTGGACATAACTCTACATCGCCTTATCATGCTCACCTTATCAAAACACGAACATGCCATAGTATCGATACGACTTCTACATTATTCAAGAGCATCTATAGAAACCTTGCCAGCTTAACTATTTATTCCGTAGTTTTTCTCTCTTCTAGTTGCTTTATTTCATTTCGACGAACATCGACGCCAGCAGGCAATTTCACTAATGTTTTGTGCAACGCACGATTTTTTTAGCTTGCACCAGTATTTGACAGGCTTGCTATGAACCCTCGAGCGCGGATGCTGGTGGTGGTGCTGGCGGGAGTTGCGCTCCGTCTGTTGCGGCCGCCGGCGGCGCTTGGTTCCGTCGAGGTCATGAAAGACGTCACGCTCGGCTTCGGGGAGGCGCTCCAGCACTGCCGCGAGGAAGTAAATACATTTTCTTATATTTTTAAAAGAGGAAACACGTACAATTTTTCTAGCTTTTTTAAAACATATTGATGTATTTTTTAAATATTTGCTGTTTATACAAAGAGTCAACTAAGCGAAGACAAGATGGAAGAATTCTATCACTTCTGGCGCGACGATTTCAAGTTCGAGGACCGCGAGTTGGGCTGCGCCATAATGTGCATGAGCCGTTACTTCAACCTGCTCACGGACACGCAACGAATGCACCACGACAACACCAGGGAATTCATCAAATCTTTCCCTAACGGTTCGTCCCAATAGGTTCCGTCACATTCCGATGTGACTGTTGTAAATAGTTACATAGTAATTACGAATAACTTGGGCCTCGCGACTAGAAAAGTCCTATTCGTTATTGTGCACATATTTTTTACTGTTTATTTTAATAATTATCAAAGCTCCAAGTCCAAGTCATTATGTTATTAGCTCCGAATCATTCGAGTACACTGTTTAGAACTCTAAAACAATACCTAAATTCTCATTTATGATTCTTGCCTCGAACCAGTTTAGAACTGGAACGGGGGGTCTGCTCAAGTTCTCCGTCCGACATCCGGCCGACACAAATACAGGCAAATAAGTAGTACTTGACCAAATTATGAGACACCTCATATGAAGTGGTGGGCCTGACACCTGCAATTTTAGATCAAAGAAATCAAAGCGGGAATCTCGCACATTCCTACAGGACGTGAGTTTCTTCAATTATTCTAATGGAAACCTCGCGTCACATACCTGCTATGGCCAATCTTAAAAAACAAGTCTTCTCTTAATTCTCAGGTGAAATACTAGAACACCAAATGGTTGATATAATCCACACGTGCGAGAAGCAGCACGACGCCTCAGAGGACCACTGCTGGCGTATCCTGCGCGTCGCCGAATGCTTCAAGAGCACCTGCCAACAGAATGGCATCGCGCCTGACATGGAAATGCTCATGGCGGAATTTATCATGGAGGCTGAGGCGCGGTGACCACAGCACTCCATTCTACAACACTTGCTAGCTAGGTCTGAACATGGGTGATTTAGAATTAGACTTTGGATTGAAGTATAAGTTCTTGCCGTTTAAAGTTGGGTCACGGTCTGGTTGTGGAGAGACTCGCAATTGGTTTGTTTGTTTATCCATGTTCCGACGTAGCCAACAAAGAACTACACACCTATTGACTGCGAATGAATACATTGGAATTTATTTTTTAGATTAATAACGTAGAATAAGGTTTAGTCGTAGGCACACTTGGAATACAACATAAATCTCTCGATTGCGATGAGCTGCAAGAGAAATTCCATGGATGGAGGCGATGGGCCACTCGGACAGTGCAGCGCGGGCGAAGGGCACACAACGACGGACGCTTTTGGCAAACGGACTCCGATTACCATACCCGTTTAATAATTTGTAGAGTACGCTTTTTTATAAAATGTATAAAATAAAATGTAAGATTTGAAATATATTAATATTATTTCCCTATATTTCTCTTTTTCTTAAATCCACATTACCTTCACTGTTAAAAATTGACAATTTGCAATTTACATTCAATTAGATTTTTTAATAATCAGACTTTTTTATTTTTTATTAACAATGACTGAATTAACGGCGAGTCGTTATTTTCGCCATGTTGTTCAACAGGGGATGTAGCTCAGTGGTAGAGCGTTCGCTTTGCATGTGAAAGGCCCCGGGTTCGATCCCCGGCATCTCCAGTTTTTTTTCTACTTTTTTATTTTCTATTAATTAGAGATTTTATTTTATTGACGTTGAAGTATAAATAAAAAATTTAATTCATGATTGTATAAAAAACATTGTATAAAAAACGTATGTAATGAGTAAACTAACTTGAGTAACTTGCCACTTTTCAAGACCAAGAAAACTAAATTCAAGTATCAGCCAATCAAAAAGAATAACTGTAACAGAACTGCATAATCAACCAAAATTACCCGTAGAAATTGAAAAAATCGACGTACCGCCCAATCGCATCCGTAAATAAAAATCGACGGTCAATTATCAATAAAAAACGACGAGATACAGCCATTGACCCCGACGTGATTTGAACACGCAACCTTCTGATCTGGAGTCAGACGCGCTACCGTTGCGCCACGGAGTCTACATACAAAGTGGCGAATTTTTCAATTGGAACGAAACTAAATTTATTCTTTAAAAATATAATATAATTCTATAAGAATGCTTAGAAATAAATTGTTTTTATTAATTTAATATATTATATTAATTATATATCGTTGTTTTTATTTGTGATCCCTTGATATTGTATAATAAATTGTAATATTGTGAAATTGATAATGTTAAATAAATGATCGTATTCTGTTTATAAAACACAAATAAAGTAAATGATGTAAACCATTCGTGTAAAACGAATTTTGACTTATCTTAGTTTTGTTGTATCTTTAATCTTAAAAAGTTAACATTTGAGGACACCTATCAGCGCGAAGTGGTACTAATGCATCCATCAACTTGGTACCAAAATATAATACTTTCGTTCCGTTATAGATGGCGTTAGTCATATCGTGCATCGTTTGCTCTCCACTATAAAAAAAAATAATATGTATTAATTGTTTACAATCGTTTATTATAAGACAATGTAAAGATAACTAAATAGTGGACCATACTAAGAATTCATCAAAGAGAGCACGCACGAAGACAGAATAGCGGGGATTGTATCGACTCCTGGAGAAGATAGGCACAAATATCTACAATATGACGAGTAGGTTTAAATTATTTGTAATTAAGTGCTTAATTATGCTAGTGTTTGAATTTCGACAATAGTTGGACATGCTCTATTATATTTCATTGAGGTCAGCTCAGCCACTGTCTTGCTACAAAATACAGAAGCATTTTAACTATTTAACGATTGAAGACCCTTCAGTTCATACATAACGCGACTTTTAATAAATAATGTAACATGCAAGAACATTATGTATCTACTTTGCATTTAACTATGTACGTACAAGTGAAATTCCCAGTGACCCAGGAATAACATTTAAAATTAAATGTAAAAATAGACCTATGAATCCATGACGCAATATCTAAGTCGCAAAGATTACGGGAAGTCATACAAACAAAAACAAAACACAAAATGAAATATTTGTCTTGTCTGTGCTCCATTCATTACTTGCTCTACTTTAATACGCTTAAACAAGCATATATTGTTATGTAAGACGACAGAGCTCCGTTACGCACATGCATAAATTGACGTAAAAACCGGACTTCAATTTTCCAATCGTTCGAAGGAAAGCGAATGCGATTACTGCATTTGAAGACGTCCATTGCTCAACAGATATATTCCAAACACCGTTCAGTGCTCGCCATCTGCAATCGTTATGGCTATTGTAGGTCTTCAAAAGATACTACAGTGAAATATTAGAGCAGATACAGATACAGCTGTAAGAACAAGTACAAATACTACTTAATAACATTTTTACCAGCCATCCATTGTCATTGTACATCCGTTGCCATGCAAGCAATTAAACAATCGACCCCGATTTTTGTTAATGTAAGTATTGAGTGTAATTCACGAGTGTAGATAGGGGCTGACTTGTCCGCGCCTTGACCTGGTCGATGTCGCGCTTATCGCATTCAGGTATTACCCACCATCATTGCTTTACGTACACTTACCTATTATTTCCCAAGTTAGTACCAAACGTGTTTTGTAGCCACTGATACTCTTTTTACAGTTAAAAAGTAACTTTTCTATTACAAATTTAACAACGGAGTTCAATACAAAACGACAAAATAAATACTTTTAACCCTGAGATGAACGATTAAATTGAGACCCAATTCCCACGACGATAAGGTCGTCGACACTTTCGATTAACTCGACTCTTAGAAAAATACCGTGACGCACATGTACGTCGTCGAAGACGTGTGTCTGTGAGTCTTAAGATGGTCTTACGCGACATTAAATACGGTTTTGGAAAATTTGCACTCTAATCGCCTTCTTCTTATAGAGACGGACGTGACTAGTAGGTATGTATTCCAATCGTTATCCTACTGGGGTGATATACTACAGTACCTATATACATTATTAACTTCACAGACAACCAAACTCAATTTCAGCCGAGGCGTAAGTAGATACCTACCTACTAGGTGAACTACTCAAAAAAATAGGAAAGACGAAGGGTCACTGTCAAGTACAATTAGGCTCAGCAGTTTGGCGACCTCCGCGGAAAACATTGTCTGATCAGCATATTATTATTATTATATATATTATATATATATATATAAAGCTACAAGTTCTTACTCACTGATAGAAATAGGACGCATACTTCCCGATATGGTGGAAAAAAATATTTATACCGTTGTACGCGGATAGGCGCCAAAGCAAAAAATCAAATATGAGAGGACCTGCATATGGAAAATATGAAAGAGTGATCAACGGCCTGCAAAAACTATATGGAGGGATTATTATGCATTTTTAAGGTTTAAAAATAGCTGCCGAAAGAGATTCGACTGAAAATTGGCATGTGAAGGGCACTAGAAATGCCGGATAATAATTTGTGCGCAAAATTTGTAATTTGTTTTTCGCTATTTTCAAATATGGCCGTCATAGACGCGTTCGTTCGTTCGTTCGGCAAATAAAAATTTACAATAATTCGATTGAAAATGGACATGTCGGGGTCTTTATGAGTGTTTAATAATAATTAGCGATTAAGATTTATTTTTCACCATTTTTCAATATGGCTACCATACAAACTTTTTTGGCGATAGATACAATTTTTTTCTAACTCGACTGAAAATGACATGGCATCATAATTTGGGGTAAAAATTTTGTTTCCGATATTTTTCGATATAGCCGTAATTTATTTATGTAACTTGCTTTGCTCGGACTGAAAATTAGCACGAAAAGATTTCTAAGATTGTTTGATAATAATTAGTGGTCATAATATATTTTTGTAATTTTTAAATATGGCCGCCATTAAAGAGCTATTTAATTTTTTTTAAAACAAAGTCCTAAGTACCGAGGCCGCAGGCCGAGTTCCGCGGAGGGCTAAGCCCGAAGCGTCCGCACGCTTTCGCATGGATGTAATTATATACGGAGGCGTAATATATTACGAGTACGAGATCTCACAATTGCAAAAATGTGAGACATACTTCCCGATGTAGTGGAAATGAGATACTTATCATAGCGTTGTTGTATCTCAACGATATCTGTTAGATTCCATTTTCTTGAAAGCTATGCCAAAGAGAAGTATTTAGGGGGAAAAAATGCCAAACTACTGCCGAATTTCCTGTACTATGAATACCAAAACAACGATAATCCAGAATACACAGACCAAAACCAGCTTAGAAATGTTCGTTTCTTAAATTGGCCCAAATCGGGAATCGACCTCCTCATCAAGCGCCCATAATACTGACACTGTGCCACCGAAGAGCATGAGCACATCCCGTAAACGTACAGGGCTCGTTTAATATGTATTTATTTCATTTCATCCTTTATTTCATGTGATGTCACTATTGTTTCAAAACGAAAGATTTAGCGTGTTTTCGCTCTGCACGTGAATGTGTAAGGAAGCTGGGTTTTTATAGTTGCATACATTGCTACCTGCCACCCGCATATGAATCGACCATTGAATTCTTGGTGCCAAATTATTAAATCCTTATCTCAACTCCAATGCTATTGGAAACTCAAGCGCATCACGTAACGTTCCAAGTACACGGAGCCCAACGTGTGGTCTGCCGATTACGTATTATGTAGGTATTTAAAGTCGCGACAAAACCTGACGGTGATACACCTGACTCACTGTCGATCTGAATAAAAAACCCGCATACGCAAGTCGGATTGTGCAACTGGTGTTCTTGGCCGTTACAGCCTTTTTCGATCTTAATTTTTTGCATATACTTTTTTACATAGTTAGACATAGACAAGTTATACAAACAACGTTTATTTTGCACATACCATAATATTCTTTGAATTTAAGTTCAAATAGAGACAAGTTCATGAAACTTTTAAACTTTATTCAAGCTGTCATTTAACATTAATTTAAAATAAATAATTAAAGACTGCTTCTGATTTCTCTATGCAATGCCAGACTTTTACACGCAGTAGCAGTGGAGCTACTATTGTGAAAGTGTTCGTCCAGTACCAGGGAGTGCTGCCACCTTACCTATTTCTGCAGCCAAGCAGTAATGTCAGCTTTACAGCGTTCCGGATTTGAAGGGTAAGGGTGCTGGCGAAACTTAAGACATGGGACTTGTCAACTTATTTATGCCTCAGGGAGACGGGCGCAGTAGCAGCGCCACTCAGATCTTTGGGATTATTATTGTATAAGTGCGTGCGCTTGCTAAAATGACCGCACACATTCCGACGAAAAGGTGGATGGACACCGTAGTGATAAAAGGTTGAGAGATAGATGTAGTATTTAGTTGATGATAAACTATTATATATAATAATATTGTGTTTAGTCAAGCGTATGTAAAATAAATAAGGAAG